ATATAAATATACATATACATATGTATTTTTGTGTCGATGTTTTCCGAGTTTTGCCAACTTACAGTTTAGGCCTCAAGGTCTTTTGAAATGCAAGGGGTTTCTCAAGGCCTAAGCCCTGAACCCTCTAGTATAGTATTCCCTACACCCAAGATAGTTAAGTACGAACACAGATCAGACGGGGCTCATGTCAAGACCTGCGAATATTACTGACTCTATGACTTTATGTATTGCATTCTACTCTTCATGGGCAGGAGCATATACTATACTGAACTTAGAACCCTCGCAAAAATTACAATTTTAGCTGTTTCTTAGGGATTATAATAACCAAAAATTAAAAACAATTTCTAAGTACCCCTAAGTAGCCCTTAAAGCTAACCTGCAAACATACCTGACCTGAGCCCCTCAGGCGCTCCCAACAAAAGCCAGAAACCCTGTAAGCTACGTGGAGGGTCGGGGGACTTAGTAAGTAGGTAGTAAGTAGACTTATAAGTACCCTGAAAGGGACCCTAATTGGGGTTATGGTACTTATAAGTCCCGAAAATAACCAGTTACTGAGTCCCCCGACCCTCCAAGTAAGGACCCCCTCCCTCTGTAGCGAGAGCCGGAGGGATCCCCAAAATTAGTAAACTTACAGTTGGTGAGTAGGGAATGGAGGCATGGGGTACAGTGATAACGACTATTACTACCATTCTTCCATTCCCTACTAACCAAAGGTAAAGATCCCTTTAAAGGAACCTAAACCTCTATAGATCCCTTTAAGGGAGCCCTATTCCCGAGGGATCCCCAAATTAGTAAAGGCCCCATCCTTCCGGGGTCTGAATCATCATAACACACTGCAGTGTACAACAGTCTCCCGAAACCCCACACCCGAACCTGTAAATCCAAACTTCTATACCCTGACCTACAGTAGAAGCCAGAAAGTTGAATATCATTATCGTAACCGCTTTAAGGTAAATTATAGGGGATCCTACCATTAATCCATATTCCAACTTTCTGGAGTTCCTTGTAAAGCCCAAACCCTAACTTAAACCCGAAGCCCCTAGCTTCGAGCTGCAGAACAGCTGGACTCTCTCTCGCTGTCTGAAGTGCTCCGAAACTGCAAAGCCTTCAATTACGGAATCTACTCATGAAGTTGTACTATTAACCCTCATGGGATGTGAAGTATACGCCTTAAACTATCATAGGAATCCTAAGAAGACATAAGGTGTACTTAAAGGGTCATGGGGCTTAGTAACTAGGGTTACAATTAGGGTAACTATACATATAATTACTTATAACCCCGACTAGGGTATTTATAACCTTACTTACTGAGTCCCATGATCCCCCAAGTACTCCTTAATTACGGGTAGCTCTCGGCCTGCTTTCATCAGACTTCGCACAGAAGAAGTTCCTGGCTGCGGAGGTTGGATGCTTAGGGTCGGGGTTGAGGGTCTTAGGATTATAGGGAATCCTTAGGGTTTTTAGGGAATCCTTAGGGTTTATAGGGAATCCTTAGGGTTTTTAGGGAATCCTTAGGGTTTTGATAGGGCGCCCTTGGGTTTATATTGGGAATCCTTCGGGTGTGGGTTTGGGGTTTTAGGATTGGCGAATGCATAGTGTTGGGATTTGGGGTGTTGGTTTGGGGTTTCAGGAGGTTCGTTTGGGGGGATGACTGCAATGGATCCTGCAACAACTCTTATCTGAATTGATCAAGCTAGCAGCTGACGTTCTGTGCCTGAGATGTAGGAGTGGCGAAACCTTGAAAAAAGCAAAGGGTTAAGGTTTAGGTTTAGGGCTACAGCCCCCCGTGAAAAATCGGACCCAGAACAAACAAAAGACACCCGAAACCCCGGTGTGTGGCCAGTCGGCGAGCAAAGAGCCGTCATATAAGGGCCTTCATAATTACAATAGGGTTCCCTTTAGGGTTCCTGAAAGGGCTCTGTAAATGGTTAATACAAGGGCTCGGTAGCGGCTCAGTATGCATAGGAGCCGGAGTAATCAGGATTGGGTTTTGGGATACATTATAGCAAATATAAACAATATGGAGGGTAATGAACAGCAGTGGTAATCTTTCTGGCTCCGATATTGGCCCTCAAACTTCAACTCTAGATTCCCCAAAGAAGAAGCCCTGGATGGGTTTGGCGGCTGGGGCACTGTTCCTATCGGTTCCTGACGGTGCAGTGAACCATTCCTGTGCAAGTCTAGGTCTTGGGGTTTACAGTAGAAGCCAGAAAGTTGGAATATCATTATCGTAACCTCTTTAAGGTAAATTATAGGGGATCCTACTTTCTGGAGTTCCCTTTAAGGTTTATGGTTTCGGCTTTGGGGTTCGGCTGTACGGCTAAAGGGAACCCTGTCCAACGCAGATCAAGCCCAATGAAAACCCTGTATATCTATCCCGAACAAGCCCTCTGTACAGACATTATGCCACCCTCTCAAACCTGAGGCCCTGAACTCAAGCTTGCCAGCGGAGTTCGGAAAGCTTCGGCTGTGCCAGCTGCGATGAGCGAAACAGACATCGACTACTTGAAAGGCCATGAGAAAGTGCATGAAGTCCTCGGCGCAGGTAGTGGCTAGCTGGAGCTAGACAGTAATTACAAACACATGCAGGCACGTGCGCATAGCTACATAGATAAATGTGTACATAAGTACATGCATACTAATTAACATACAGACCTGCCTACCTGCCTACGTACATACGCATGGGCCATACATAATTACATAACCTAACATACCTAATAAGGCATAGCATCACATAAGATACGTCGTGCGCTTAGACAGGTCCGCTCACAGCGTAGGCATGCCTGCTTGCTATTGTGCACATATGCGAGAAGCTGCGTGTTGAAGATTCACCAGACATAGTAAGACTGTGACATACTGTGACAACTAGTGTGCAAATGGGCATTGAAGCCTAAACCCCTAGACCCCTAAACCTCGAAACCCTAAACCCCTAAACCGTAACTCTCAAAATTGGTAGCAGGTTGCAGCCTTCAACTGCGACTTCACGATTGGCTCGGCATGCAGGCAGGCAGATTCGGTTCTGCTCTAGAGCCGAAACAAAGGTTCTTGTTGAGGGAGTTAACTCATTCAAGGTACCATAATAAGGAACCCATCTTATCCACCGTAGATCCCATTATGGGCATCTAACTGATTCAAGGTACCATAATAAGGAAGCCATGTTATTCACTATAGATCCCATTATGGTAATCTAACTGATTCAAGGTACTATAATAAGGAACCCATGTTATTCACTATAGATCCCCATTATGGTAATTTAAACTACAACCCTGAACGAGAACCCACAATACTAGTATGTCTGCCGGTGAGCGACGGTGGAGAACCTTCGTCCATGTGGCTATGAACGTGTGTTCACACAGAGAGCGTATACGTGAAGATTTCCTAGACTTTGTAACTGCACAGACATATGCAGACACACTGACAGGCAGGTTTTTGCACATCTAGGTCGCGTGATAGCTAAACCGCAGGAGGGCTTCCTGAAAGGGATGCTCAGCAGGGTGTGTGCCGATGCAGCTCCAAGCATCCATCCAAAAAGTGCCGTCATCAGAGCCAGTTCGACCAAGCCGCTTCTCCAAAAGCCTTGGTGATTTGTTTGACTTAAACCCTAAACCCTTAAAGGGACCATTCATAGATGCCCTGAAAGGAACCATTACAGATCCCTATTATGGTAACCTAACTGAAATTCCTTACCTACTTGTCGGGTATCATGGGGAACTGAATAAAGGTTAACCTTTTTGGCTATATAGGGACTCTGTAGGGACTATACTACTCAACAAAGGTTAAAGGTCACCTACTCGACTACTAGGATTATAAGACCGACTAGGCTGACTGGCAACCTCTTGGCAATAAGGTTGCTCTTGCTTTAGCTTGGAGGTTTAGCGAGGAAACCCCGAAACACAGAAATGCTGTAGCACCCAAATAATCAGCCCTTTCACTTACCAAAACTCTAAACCCTAAACCCTTAAAGCAACAATCAAAGAAGCTCCGTCCACTGAGCGGAACTGTCGGACCACTCGCCATTCCACTCGCCCATGCCTTGCCGTGGGCCAAACAGAAGCGAGAATCGAATGCCAGCGAACATCGCAAACGGTGCGCATCAAGATTGTGGCAACCAGCTTGAACAGTGCCTCCCGAGACACCTTCCAATATGTTTTTCATATTCCGTGTCTCGCGACATATCTTGCGACACATAACAGCTCAAGATGTTCATTAGTCTTGGATCAGATGCCATGTGGATTCCGCAGCTTCAGCAGCTGGACTGTCTGACTGCCACCTTTTCCAGGGAAGGCGAAGCCATATCGGAGCGTTCTGAGTGGCATCGTGCGGGTCTGTTTGTATACGTGTGCGACATCTAAATGCGTCTGCATGTGTATGTATGTATGCATGCATGCATGCATGCATGACATGTAAGCATGTGAATACATCCGCAGACATCCGCACAAGTAACAACATGACACATCGAGAGAGCGAGAGGGGGGGGGGAATCAGCTTCTCCCTTTTGAGACGTGGGGGTTTCCGAAAATAGGGGACCCTAATTTTGTACCCTAAATAGTAGGATCCTTTTTATAAAGACCCCATAATAAGGTACCCCTAATTTTCGGAAACTCCAATGTACAAGTTGCCACTCAGCCTGCAAACAAATGTTTATGATGAACGGCTCGAAGGTATGTACCAGGTGAAGATAATGGACAAACCCTGTTAAAGGATACATGGGAAGGGTTCATGTGCTGCCGAACGCACAATGATTTCGCTGCCAAGAGGTGAGAAATCCAGTGTCGCCGTGGCTGTCACATATAGACCATACTGGAGCGTTATGTGCGTAGATTTCCCAACACTCGAAGCAAGACTGGCGAAGCCAAAGTATAGACACCCTCAGCCGATGAAGATTCAGGCTCATCGGGTACAAAACTAAACTTCAAACCAGAAACCCCGTAACGGCTAGACTTCGATCCCTCCCGCACCACAGCGAAGAGCTTCGGGAATATCACAGTTGTCCACTTCTTTCAGATCGAGGATGCTGTACCTCTGGTTTCAGGGCGTGTCGGGCTTAGTGCCCGAATCTTACGTTCCACTTTAGATCACGAAACCCTCAGACGCCAAGCTTCAAGCGATACAGGGCCTGGGATTAACAAATGCAGGGGGTCGACAGAAGCTGAAGAAGAGGTGATGGTGGAAGCTGAACAAGGATCAACCCCACCAACCATAAACTATATCGGCCCACAGAGACGCTAGGAGCCCAAGCCCTACCACACCAAATTCCGTGAGCCGCCGGGATGCAGGAATCCTCGGGTAACAAGAGGGATCACCCATGAGAATGACCCCAGTCATAGTCCACACGGGTCTACGTGCCCAACTCCTTCGAGTAGGGGCGTAGCTACAAATCCTCAAATTGGGCATGTATCGGAGGCCTCACAAGGTGGGGTGAAGGTAGGTGGGATGAAGGATCCCTTATATAAGGACTCTTATTTGGGAACATCCCACCTACCTTCATCCTACCTTTTGAGGCCCCCGAATGTAGTCACGTAGTCAGCCTAACTCTCTATCCTGGCGCCCAGAGAAACAGCAAACTCTAGCTATACGACAAACAGCATGCGGAACATCGCCCAGGGGAAAGGCTGCAAGCAGACCTATATAAGCCCTCTCTTCAGCCTGAAGCCCTTGAACCCCTGAGGTAGGAACCGGATTGAGAAACCTTGGGCCTTTATTGGGGTTCCTGATATGAATCCCCGTACTTTGGGGGTTATAGGCCCAAGGTCTCTTAATCAGGTCCCTACATTCATTAAAGCCCTGACACCACGAAACCTCTTAACCCGAAACCCCTGGACCCTTGAACCCTGAACTCCGAACCTGCCACGAAGCCTCAACAACGACGTGATAGTTCTACTAGCACAAATCACGAAGCTTCATTCGACGTCTTAAGGCCTCTATCTCCCACGAAGACAGTGCCGAGGCGCGCGTGGTAGCCTCGGGGGAAGCTTTCATGGTCTGCACCCGTTTCGGGTTTGGCTTGTATGTTTAGCGTCATGTGATTTACGTTTATGATTCGGCGTTTATGGTTTACTGTTTGGGGTTTACGTCAGGTTTCGGGGCGTCGGTTGCAGAGCCGCAGTAAGACTCAGTAGTAGAGGGCTGCTCCTGATGCTGCTACTCTGCTCTCCTCGTCTAAGGGGGAGCAGGAAGAGGAAGAGCGGCTACTATTGCCAGTCGTTCTCCCTTGCCGACAAGAACTGGTACTTATAGGATTGTGCCACGATTGTCAACACGATTACTGCCGATTTGCATCCCCGCGCTAATCAGTAGTTCTAATGCAGCAGGACAGTAAGTAAGAGTTAGCGGTGCTGTACTTCCACTTATGCTCATTGAGAAGGATCTTGCTAAGAACGGCGACGACGACGTTGACGATGATGATGAAGAAGAGGACGACGACGACGACGACGATGAAGATGCGATGACGACGATGACGATGGTGATGATGATGGTAATGATGAGGATGATGATGATGGTGATGATGATGATGATGGCCATGATGATGATAATGGCGATGTTGAAGATGATGAAGATGATGATGATGATGGTGACGATGCAGATGACGGTGGTGATGACAAAGACGACGATGATGGTTATCATCATCATGATGATCATCATCAGGATGTCAATCACATGGCTGATGGGTAATGCTCATCATCCCCACGAGGACGTCCAACTCCCCCTTCCCCCTCCGCAGCCCTTTCCTGTGCAGGCATGGTGCCTACCAAACCCACCTCCGCCAACTCAGGGTGCCCCGCAGTGCCGCAGCCCATGGGCAAGCCAGACAGGTGGTAGCCGACCTCTAGGAGAAGGCAGAGGAGCCCACCGAACTCTAGGTTTTCAATTAACCCTAAAGCCTAAACCCTAAAACGGTTTAGGGTTTAGGGTTGATCTCTGAGTTCAGGAGTGCGGCGTTGCATCGGAGGCTATGCGAAAGTACTCTGGCTGATGAGACCCTGCCCCTGGTAGCTTCCGGCTGTGAAAGGCACCTGTCTTTGCTTGCACCAACTGCTTTGAACGGTGATATAGGGGCCTAAATAATTACCTGTACTGTTTGAAGGGGTTCCAGTTTAGTGTTGCTTAGTTATGGTATAATATATCCCAAACCCTATTCCAATTATTAAGGCCCCCTATATATTTGTCGCCCAGGAAGTTTCGGACATCTTGGTGATTCTGTCCGTTGTCAGGTGTGAGAACCAAAAAGACACACTGCAGGTCGTCTAATCCAGAGGGTCCAAGTACCCAAGTAGTAGGGCTTCAGGTCCGAAAGCCCATACTCTGAGTGGGTTTTGGACCTTGAAACCTAACTATTTGGGCACTTGAACCCTTAGCGTAACTTTCAATCTGCCCACCTGTAGATTTGACTCGCTAAACCGGCTATACCCAAACCCTGAGCCCAACCACCCGAAACTGATTCGGATAGGCGAGTCACATTTAGAATAGGGCTTTGGGGTATAGTATACTATAACTATAATCAGGAGTCCCCTCCCTCCAACCCAAAAAATTGACATTGGCACTGGTTCAGGCCCCTATATTATAATTACCCCAAACCCTAAACCCAAAAAGCCCTAAGCCCTAAACCCTGAAAACCCTAAACGCTAAAAGGAAAAATAATTATCACTACTCCCTTTTGGCGGGCAACGAGCTGCTCCCAGAGCTCTCCAGGTGACCTGTCCAGGTCCTCGAGGTCGATACCTAGGGACTTACTTACAGTGTAGGGCTTAGGGTTTCTAGGCTTTGGCGTTTGTAGTTTGGGGAATTTCGGCTTTAGGGTTTGGGGAGTTTAGGGTTTAAGGGCTTTTGGGGTTCAGAACTCAGGGTTTAGGTTTAGGGCCCAGTGAAGTGCCCAGTGGAAGAGTGGATCCCTACACTGTTCCTTACATAATCTCTTGTCGCAGTAACGGGTAGGGTGGGGTTAGGGGTAGGTAGGGTAAAGGTAGGGCAAGGGTAATAGGGTGGGGATAGGGGAAGGTAGGGTAAGGGTAGGGTAGCGCAGGGCCTAGCAGTACCTGTATCACTTCCTCCGCTCTTCCTTAAGCACCAGTAGTGGCAACTTGCACGGGTCCCGGGGGGGTCGGTGATTAAGCCCCGGGCTCGTGCTGCACGTGGGTTTTCAGTGACGTTCCGGTCCAGAGGGGCATGGTGTTGAACGCAGCAAAATTGCGCGTGTGTTTTTCAAACGGCCTTGATATGTGATGGACAGGATGAGGACTATGACGACGGATTGCATTCAAACAGGACTAGGGACTGGACCATTTTCATGCCCACCCTAACGTTTGCGTCAAAATTTGAACTGCAGGCGGAAATTCAAGTTTTGAGCCGCATTGGCCCGTGATGTGTTGTCCGTTGGCTTGTTCCATGTTATCAGCGCATCATTGCATCATCAGGAATCATCAACAAATTGTAGTCGTCGCACAGACAGATGTTTCGACAACGAATTCGCGCTATCGCGTGCCTTTCCGTGCCAACACTCAAGAAACACCCCTAATCCCCAACAGCAGTAACAGCAGGCTCCTTTTTCAGGAAATCAACAGTTGAGGCAGTTGAGGTTTATGGATTCGTCAAGGGCCAAGGGCTTATGAGTTTAAATTAGAATTGCGGTGGTTTGTTACCACTTGTACCTGTTACCTGTTCCCGTTTCTGCTGCCATGGAGCCAAACCCTAAACTCGAAGCCTAAAAACCCTAGCCCTCATTGCCCTAATCTCACGAAAACCTGGACCCTGATCAGCCCTGATTCCTAAGCCCTACAAACCTCATACCCTGAACCCTAAATTGCCCTAAACCCTGATCCCCAAACCCTAAACCGTGATCCCTAAACCTAAACCCCATACCCTAAACCCTGATCCCTCAACTCTAAACTCGAAACCGTGCCTTCGGCCGCACAAAACCTTAATTACCGAGAGGGGTCCGGTAATTAAGCCCTGCGCCTGGATCCGGTTTAATTCCCGAGGTCCATCCTTAATTATCGGGGTCTTGTACTAAATTACCGGGGTCCGGCCTTAATTACCGGACCCCGGCCTTAATTACCGACCCCCCCTCGGTAATTAAGGTTTTGGACCGGCCTTAATTACCGGGGTCCGGGCTTAATTACCGACCCCCCCTCGGTAATTAAGGTTATGGAAGCATGTTTTGGTGCACTTTCGAGCGCTGACCCCCTCATTTTGACGGGGTCAGCGCTCGAAAATGCACCAAAACATGCTTCTAAAAGCTTAATTACCGAGGGGGGGTCGGTAATTAAGGCCGGGGTCCGGTAATTAAGGCCGGTCCAAAACCTTAATTACCGAGGGGGGGTCGGTAATTAAGGCCGGGGTCCGGTCATTAAGGCCGGACCCCGGTAATTAAGGACAGGCTTGCAACATAAACGATTTGCGATGTATGTCGGGTCAATCAGCTTGCTAGGCACGAGTTTTAGCTGTTCTTGTTGTTTTTTCGGTTTTGTCCTGACCCGACCTGCCTGCCCCTTCCAGGGTTGTGATTGCCCCATGGCTGCCTTGAGCTTACTGACTGGCACTGGTTTAGAACCCAGAATCTGAATATCCGACATAACCGCATACCTCTATACTATATCCACCTAGTCACCTAGTCTCTACACACTTGCCACTAACCCACTGGAGGCGCAAACTTGGCCCTAAGCGCCCTTAAGTTGCGAAATCTCAGTTTGAAAGCTTCACAAGCTGCAGAATGGATCCTGCATCCTGAGTACGTTTACGCCTACGCAAGGTTTGAGATTCCGACCGTGGCCCCTCACCCCCTAAGCCTTAGGCTTAGCCCTAAGGCCATGCATCTCCAAACCTTTAAACTTGAGGCTCATGGTGCTGGGGAAAAAAGACGGCCGACAAAAACTTTTAAGGTTTGAGCAGGCTTGAGGCTTAAGGGTTCGGCTTACAGTGTCTAGGGCCCAGGCTCCCAGGGTTAAGTTTAGTTTGGGAGGGCCCTAAAGCTTTAAACCCTAAACTAAGCCTTGCCTGAGGCTTGAACTGGATAGAACCGAGAGCAAAACATCAGACACCTTTGTCTTGCGTGGGCAACGGCATAAACCACAACCTAAGGCGGAAAATGTAGATGGACCCCACGAGGCAAGAAAATTGAAATCAAACGTTTCTTTCGTGGTGGCAAGGGCAGCACCAGCCACCACTCGCAGCTCGTTTGGAAGCAGTTTTGTGGGTCTTTTTCGGTCGCAATGACGGCAGTGTGCTATGTACGGTCATGTGCATACAACCCACCCTCGGGAACCGAAATGTGCTTATTCCCGGGGTCCGGGGCTTAATTACCGGACCCACCCGGGACCCGCGCAAGTTGCCAACCAGTAGGTTGAGGGTTCGCGATGTACCGTGCGGTCTCCTGATCAGAAACTAGGGTTGCGGCCGCGGCTCAACGAGCTACCAGCTACATCTCTATGATGAGACACTGTACAAACATACGACAGATAAGTAAGACTTTCGGGCTCGAGGTGGGTCTACATATAAGACAAAAACAAAATCCTAACCAACACCTCCGAGGATGTGAATACCTACTGTAACAATGGGAAGCCACGTGAAACGATAAACCCTTGCTTCTTATTGTCTTTTCAGATGCCCTGTATGCCAGCCCCGGATTCCTAGGACACAAGTCGACACCCGAGACGGCTCACCGTTGACCTCGAGTTGCTGGTCTTGGTTTGGGGTCCTTCCGGCGTTTTCTTGCACCGTACGGGTTTGGGTATGGGTTGTGGGCTTTATGACCTTCGGGTTCGGCAGATCTCGACTAATTTTCGACGAGAGGGTCTTGGCAGACTTGCTGACTGGGCAGACTGCGACCGGTAACCGGTACGAAACCGCAAAACACAAGGATGACTCCAAACAAGGCTAGGCAGCTAGGCATCTCGGTGCAATACAAGGGCCTTCAACGCGATTCCTTTGGTTCCTTCACATAACTATGCTACAAGATACCCCGAACCCCTTTTCACCATATTCAAATTATTCAGGCCCCTGTAGTACTGCCTGGCAGGACACTTTCACAGGGTGCGCCAGTTAGATCCAGCAAGGCCTGTGTGCGTGTTTACAGGGCTGGGAAGCAGCTCCGAAGCTGTCGTTGCGATTGACAGGAGAGGAATTCGGACAGGGCTGTGGAGTATCTCAGATTTCCCAGCTCTTTTTCATTCGTAAGAGTAGTAGCCCCGATGCTGAACACCTTAATTCTGCAAATATCTCTGTGGGGCGATGACAAGGGCCCGCAGACTTCTCGCAGCTTCTTGTGCGGAAAGAGGGGGCAACTGCAAATCACCAAGAGCTAGCCAAGTATTGAACCCCCTCTCACGCCATGCCAGAGGGGCCCCTAAATCCTAAACCCTCCACCACCCCCCCAAAAAAACAAAAAACAAATCGCAGCGGACTGAAAATGAAGCCGCCTCGGCCACAGACCCTCCGCTGATCGCCTTGTAGGATCCATGAGCCTCTCAACACTTCGCACAGCCACGATCGCTTGAGGGTTAAGGGTTTGTTTAGGGTTTGCTTCCATGAGTCTGCGAAGAAGGCTTAAACGCCGTCTGCGCATCACTAAACGGTATTTTGCTTCGCTGCCACGGTAATGTCTCAATAAGCCCTGGCGGAATAAATGCTCCAGTCAAGTGGTGAATCTGATGATGACCCGAAGGTGGCACTGATGAGCGCAGTGGCGCTGATCTGTTGTTGGTGGTGAAACTGACGGTCCTTGTTCACCGACGTCTCTTGCGGTTGTTGTTGTTGTTGCTGGTGTTGTGGCCGTAAGCATATGCTTTCGTCGGCGGCGGCGGTGTATGTGGGGGAGTGGGTTCGTGTGCCCTAGACCCTGCACCAATGGGCCGATTCAGCACGCAATACGGTCAACATATCAGACCTACAGATCTCAGCCCAAAAAAGCCCCCCCGTTAATATACATACTATCACCGACTACAACCGACCAGAGTATAGACAAGCCCTTTGTGTGTGTGTGTGTGTAGTAGCTCATGGTGGCGAAGAGTCATTGGAAGACGGAGTGCGGTCCCAACCGACAAGAGTCCCTTGAAAGTTCTACAGCGAAGCATAGCATACATGCACAATACACCTCCAATGCTCTATGATCTATGACATGCATAAGGCTTCGATCGGGTTAGATTTGAGGGTTGAGGGCCTTCTGAAATCATGACACATTCGATGCCTTGGCGTAGGCTTTCTCCACCAGAGGAACCCACAGTTGCCTGTCCTGGGGAAGTACAAACACGCGGTCGGGGCTAGTCTGCTTTCGTTTACTACCGTAGAGAGTCATGTGAGATCGGTTATATATATATATATATATATATATAGATAGTCACTATAGTGTACTATGGTGGGGTTTTGGGTTAGAGCTTTGGGTTTAACATGGGGGCCTGATTGACTGTCAATGGGGCTTTGGATTACATTGCAGTGCAAGCACATGTGGGAACCGGGAGGATTAGTTAGTACACACGCTCTGAGCCCCACCCTAAATGATAGAACTCCTGAGTTTAGGGATTGCTGTTGCTAGTTGATACTGGGGATCAGGGCGGAATCATCGCACGATTCGAAGAAACGGTGTTCTTGCTGGCCCCAAAACTTTTACTTTAAAAACCGTGCATAAGCCTAAGCATCACCCTGAACACTCAAGAGGTGCCTCATCAAGGTATACTTCGGAGCCTATATAGGAAGAATCGGAGAGACGGAAGAGGTAGATAGATGAGCAAGTAGTGGCACATGCAAGTTGCAACAGTTCGCATCATAGCATAACAGCCGGAGTGGTGTTAGCAGTACCGCACTACTACAACCCCTCTGTTGCATAGGAACCCTAAACCCTATACCCACAAGGAAGCATCCAGGTCCGGGCATCGGAATCCTATCTGAAAGTCGAGCCCTCTATGCGGGCCGTCGACTCGAAGAGTGAACTATTACGTACTGAGCTCCACCCGTAGTCCTGACATAGTTGTGTTACAATGTACCACGAAAACCTATTCCTCAAAACAAGGCCCGTAATGAATCATAACTGTATGATATAACCACTAACACAAAAACCCACTGTTCTTTTTTCAACGACCCTATGTCTTGTGCCCGTCCTTCGCGCGGCTGAAGGCGAGCCCGCTGCCGTCTGGTCGACGCTGCGCTGCGGAGCCGATGCAGGGGAGCTGGTCATCAACCTAACCACCGCTCCAACATTTTTTAGCAATATAAGGTTCTTTGTGTACCCTTTTTGTTTGAACCCTCTTTTACCATACGGGGTCTCAGGCCTTAAACTTCAGAGTTTAGGAGTCAGGGTCTTGAGGGTGTTTAAAGCTTTGCTTTAATGCATGGACGGCTCTTGGAGACTGAGGGTTCGCGCGCTGCTGCCGTCCTTCCGTGCCTTATTTAGGATGCCTGCCAGGTTTGCATCGTCAAAGGGACCCGTACAAACAGCTGACAAACGCAGTGCATCCCGTTGTTCACCTGTTCAGCAACATTCAACGATAGACTGGCTTGTCTAAGTTAGCAGATACCATGTCCATTCTCCAATCATGCAGCCACCCCAGCCCCCAAACCGTAACAGGCTATACCCCAACCCTCAACTCACCAAAAGACCTCAACCCAAAACCCACATGATGAAACCACGACTACGGAACCATGCCCAACTGCATGGACAAAAGCATACTCAATCCCATAGTCGTCTTAAATAATATGTTATAGTAGGAATAAGGCTTAGGAATGAAGTTGCAACTACATGTAGTCATCATCTATAAAACCTTATAAGGGTTATAACTACACTGTACTTATGCTTTACCAACCGGATACTTAATAATCATCCTATCCTTATGCTTGCATGCAGACTAGCATACAGTAATCTCCTAAATTATCATCGACAATTAGTAGTTGACGGACATGATTGAATACTTTGTCAATATCTGGTTCAAGTTTCACAGGTTCGGGTTGTGGTTCTTCCTCATCAACAGATTGATTAGGAAATTGTTAGTTTAATCGTTTGCATATTCCCCTTCTCTGCTTTTTCACATTCTGGTTTAATATCTGTAGGTAATTTGTCGTTTAGTTTGATTGCCTAATTTCCTTAAAGTTCTTCAGGGAAATGGGAGGCAGTAAGGAAGCGGTCTAGGCGGGAGTAGCCGGGCTTGTCCACTTTTTTGGGCACTTCTCGGACGGTGCTGTGCCTCTGCCCTGGAGTTCGGATCGGAACGTCCGATCTGCGAGGCTTCTTTTTGCAAGCCTCGTAAAACCTATATATACGAGCCCGATACAACCACCGCTTTACCTCAGTTTTAGGGGGAACTTGCAAGTCCCTTAAGACCATTTTTGCAAGCAACATCGATCCAACCGGGGCTCTATCGCATACGGACACCTCTTCGCCGTCGGTGTGCGAACCTGCTAGACAACTTTGCGTTTTCGACGCGACCGCACACCTCTAAATATTCTGGCATCGCGTGCACTATCATCAATCATCCCGTTCTTGTAGCAAATCGTCACATCCTGTCTCAAAGCGCCAAATTCAATGCATTCACCCTCCGCAGTTCCGAAATTCGCAGTTCCGAAATCATTGTCCGCGTCCGCTTTGACACAACGACAGTAAGTAAATCACCCGTGTTGAGGCCGCTCTGTAGAACGGTTTGAGAGTCCTCAAGACGCCTCTCCTCTGCCATCATCACTAGCATATGACCCTCGGGCACTTCAACGACATTCTCGACCAGCTTTTTGACCCTCAAGATCGTGTCGTTCGGCTGGACGAACAGTTGAATGCGGGTGCCAGATGGCTGAAGCAGATTAAGCGTGATTGAAGCATCTCGGTTGGCCATGGCTGCTGTGTCCCAATTTGCTTTCCCAATGCGGCAAGGATGAAGCACTTCTACTCGCTTGAGCCTGTCAGAGCATAAACACGAGCTAATAACTAAGGCAACTCATCACTAAACTGAAGCTCCTCTCTCGATGATGACTGGTTGATCTTATTGCGTGCTCCGATGGTCACCGAACTCTGCGACTCACGGGGACGAGGACAGAAGGTGCTACGTGGTTTTCCGATAAAGCTTCTGTTTTGTCTGTGGGATGAGGCTAGTCTAGCGAGGCCTTAGGGTGAGTCTTGGGGTGGGGCTCGGGCTGTATCAGGTATTTGGTCTTAGGTGGGGCAGGGCGTAGGAGGGTGCATGGTGCGAACATGGACATGGCATCTGTGAACTGTCTACAGGCTGATTGACTGACTGATGGCTGGTTATTATTGTGCAGTTGCTGGCAGGACCGGGGAGTGTTCTTGATCTGACTGCATCTCTGGCCAACACTTAACCCTGAAACCCAAACCAAAATCCTAGAACCCCCTACGGCCTACAATTGCTGGTATGTTTAGTTCAGACTTGATGCTGGGCTGCTGATCATTTGCGGGGGGGGTATATCAAGCCCCTACCACCCCAAAGCCTAAATCCGAATAGCACCAGCCCACTTACACCAAACGCTACCCTAAAGCCTCAACTCTAAGCAGTAAAAGAGCCAATTGCCGACCAGGGGCAACCACGGTGGACCACTTGCCCTCCAAGAAAAGCTGCACCTTGGGATGGAAGGAGAAGGACACCAGCAAAAAGCCGAGAAAAGCAACTATGACTCAGGTTCTAAGCTTAGGGTCCCTAAAGCCTCAACCCCAAATTGGTACCTTCAGGTTCTCTAGGTTCAGGGTTTTCAGGACTTCGGACGATAGGTTCATTATGTAGGCATAAGGGCTAATGGTGAAGGGTGTATCAAAGGCTAAAAGGAGGGACCCTTAACAAGGACCCCTAGGTATATACCCTTACTATAGCAATTATATACCCATTATATAGCCCATTATAGGGTAGGGGTCCCCATTACGGGTCCCTCCTTTTCCCCTTTGAGTGCAGGAATAGCCCGACCACCCTTGTCCTTTTAGAAACAATAGACAGAGCCCTATACCTATATCCCTTAGTAGGAATTATTTAAGAAGGTCTACTAGCCGGTCTGTTTATTCTTTTGAGGGAACCATGAAAAAGGACAAGGCTGAGCCCGACTCGGAAGGATGCAGCCAGATTCGTGGGCTTCGCCATGCAAGCTGGATTTGGGAATCGGAGCTAGGGTTCAGGGTTGTAGGGTGTAGGGCTTTTTAAAGTTTTCAGGGCCATAAATAAATAAGAACAATATGTATATATATATATATACACACACATAAATATGTGTATATATATATATATACACGTACACATATGTGTATATATATATACATATACGTGTATGTATATGTATGTGTGTATATATATATATAATATACACACATGCATAATATGGGGTTGACGGATTTTCAGGCTCAGACCTTAAGCGGCACATATGCAAGCGGGTACCGTCATCGTAGCCCTACTTCTGAAACTCTATACCTTTCCTCCTAACCCCCTAACCCCAAACTAAAGAACGAATCCAGCGACAAAGGGCTTCGTAGCGGCCAGATCGCTGGGTCGTCGTCTGCCAGCAACACAGGCGGGTGGGCACACTCAAAGCCCTGCTCCCTACAGACCCTAAACCCTACAAAGCATGCATCTGGCGCTAAAGCTCCTGAGATCGCTGGTGCGAGAAAGCTAGGCTTTCGCCGTGGGTAGAAATTGAGGGGATGCCAAAACATTCTGACGAAGAAGAACAGTAATGGGATCCCAACTAAGCAAGTGCGGAAGAGGCCTCGCCCCGGAAGAGTCTCAGGATCAGGTCTGGCCTAGAGGTCGTCTGTTTCTGTTGCTGAACACAGGCATTCAGGCTTAAGGTTTCTCAGGATTTCAAGACTTAGTCTAGGGTTTCATTTCAAGGCTTCGGCGTTTAGGGGGTTGAGGTGGTTTAGGGTTGCTCTGTTTCAGGTCTCGGCTTTCGTGGTTTGGCGTTTCCGGGCTTCAGGGTTACGGCTTCGGACTGATATGCTGTATAGCATGTGTTGCATCATTATCTACGTATCTGCTTGCACATGTGATTATGTTATGTAGGAATATCCGGGAGAGGTGTAACCACCAAGCAAAACTGCTTCAAGTAACTGCTGATACATTCTACTCTCTTGTCACTCTATCCCGAATCAAACTGAATCCCGAAATCCCTTACGTCTTTAGGGTTGCAGGGATCAGAGTCCATGGCCTGCTACTACACAAGCGCTGCAGAACTTTGAAGACAAGAGTTGCTGCACAACTTCAACCCCAAATCCGCAGCCCCAAACCCTAATGCCAAACCCTAAACCCGAAACCCTAAACCCTAAACCCTAAACCCTAAACCCAAACCCTAAACCCTAAACCCGAAACCCTAAACCCGAAACCCCCCAAAAAATTCTGAACTCAAAAGCTCAAGCCCGAAACAGCACCCCAAATCCAGCGACCCCCCGGACGCTCTGCGATCGCCTCTCTGCGATTACTGCTAGGGCCGAGAGGAACCAGCAGTCTCCGACGGCACCCTGCCGGTTTAGGGTTTAGGGCAGGACGTCGGGAAGTAGAGTAGTGTAAGGTCTCGGGATCTATGGGGTTCAGTTTAGCGGGTTTTGCGATGTTGGTGTCCTGTAGTCCTGCAGCGCTGCAAGCGTTTGATTGGCATTTGAGGTTAATGGGTGGGTTGTATTCCAGGCAATACTTATCTATTGCCTTGGTGAAGGTGTTTCTGACGCCCCTGCAACTGCCTATGAACATCCAGGTACGGTTCCAGGTCGTTGCAGCTTTGCTGGCAGGGTTTAGAGCAGGCGGCGCGCAAGTTCTCGTCGATAACTTTCATGACGCATTGGATTCCATCCCGATGCTGGCAGAGGGAGGATCTGTCTAGACGGGAAACAGCATAAAAAAAAGTACTGGTAGCAATAACAATAATAACAAGGACAATAGTAGCAACAACAATGATAATTATAATCGTAATATTGGTAATATTTATTTAATAATGATAAGTATGCACAACTGCACGTACCCCCTCATCCTGGACCTCATATCCGAAATGCTACAGCGGGGCAACGCGGTGTCGACTCCATTCTCGGCCTGAAGCAAGTCATCCGCCCGAAATCCAGTGTCCTGGACCTGGGTGGTTTGTGAAAATTAGGGTCCCTTTTTGGGTCCTTATTGTTATTATTATTAGCGGACATCAGTCGATCGTTTGCATGAAGCACCTTCTCGGCCTTTTTGGGTCCTTATTATAATACGGCACCTAATATTTCGGGTACCCAAAAAGGGACCCCCTACTTTGACAACTACCCACCTGGATCTCACAGACTTCGGGGTTGCTCGAAGCTAGGTTTCGCTTGCTGCAAGTGCTTATGTAAGCATGTTTCGCAGCTTGCAAGCACATTGGATGGGCAATAAAGTACTCCTAGCTATGTTCGGTTCGAAAATTTTGCAGTATAAGGCTTAGCAATTGCGGTTTAGGCCTTCGGGGTTTTAGCATTGATTTGTGTTTCAGAGGCTTGAAGCTATACAGGACTTGGGATACTCACCGGGACCATTCATCATCGAAGCATCCATGTGGGAGTTCCCAAAGCATGAGAGAAGACAGTGACCCAAAGCAGGAGGATCCCCGTGATAAGGCCCACCAATCAAACACGTTAAACTTCCTACCATAAATAGCCCCCTATGCAGTATGCCCCTTCGTAGAATACTGAAGCACTGTAAATCAATCAAAATCACCCTAAAACACCTCCCAGTTTAGGGGTTTGGGGGTTCAACCGTTTGAGGCTTGAAGTTAGGCCCTTCTACTTGTTTACAGCAGGTCCGCCCGGCCCCCTCGCGGAGCAGTCGAGATGCGAGAGAGAAATTCTCCAGGCGCTGCCACCAGACTTGCGAGGAAAGGCGCTCGAGATGCGTAACCCACCTTCGGGTATAGTAGAGGCCAGAAAGTTGGAACATCATGATCCCCATGCCCTTAAGATGAAGTATTCCGGGATCCTAGCACTAATCCTCCTAAAGCCATGTACCAACTTTCTGGCTTCTCTATAAGGGTTTTTAGAGCTTCCTTCCGGCTTCTTTAAAGCCTTGGAGTGGCTGCTGGGTTTTTTCCGGGTTCACCAATCCTTCAAGGGATATTTAGGACGCTAGGGCTTCAGGGTTTTGGACTTTCGGAAGGTTTCGGCTTCGCACGTCGGCCTTCGGATGTCCAGATCGCATTCATCAGCCTTGTTACGAAACTGATCGAAACTTCAGAGCAACAGGACTACCCAAAGAGCCCAATACCCCTCAATTAAGGAATGTGGCTCAAATTATATAGGGCTTCATATTATGGTTTAAGCTATATTCCTTAATTAAGGGGTATTGGGCTCTCTGGGTACTGCTCGAAATTGAACCCGATGCTACCTCGAGGTTAGCCCAGTCTCATCGGGCTGAAGCAAACCAGGCCATTTCCATGCAGTTCCGCTATTGTGGTACCTGGCCCTATTCTGATAGAAGCATAACTGCCTGAAGCGTGAGAAATTTGAAACAGGAACCCTTCAATTCAGGATGACCCTAAACCCTAAACACAGTCCCTAAACCTTAAACCCCACGGTTTGGGATCTACAGGGGCTTTCAAACTCAGGGAGACTGATACAAACTCGAAAACGGAAGATCCTCGCTATAGGGATCGCTGACAAGGGGCTACCTCTGCGAACGCCCCAAACCCAGGTTAAACACTCTTGGAGACTTGGAAACCCAGGAAGACCCCTAAACCCTAAACCCTGGAACCCTGTGAAATCCGACGACGCCCTAAAACATGAACCCGGAAGCTGAAACCCCAAACCTTGAGCCACGAGAGAGCCTCTGAAATTTTCGAAAACCCGCATGGAGACCCGTCCTGAAGAAGTTGCAGCCATTCTGCCTGCAGCTTCGAACGGTTCGAACGGTGTTCGGGCTTGGGGCTTGTAGGGTTTGAGTACATTTGGGGGCTTTTGCTCTATGGGGGTATTGAAGTTGTATCGTTCCGGGGCTTCGGGTACAGGATTTCGGCTTCGAAGGGGCTCAGGGGCTTCAAGGTAAGGGCCTATCTTAGGGTTTAGGGTTTACGGTTTAGGGGTAAACCAATAAGCCCTAAACTCTAAACCTCAGGGCTCAGGAGCTACGTTCCAAGGTGTAGGTTGCAGGGTTCGAGGATCAGTGCTTGGGGTCTTGACTAGTATTGTTTCTTTACTTGTTAACTATTGTTGTTGCAAGTATGATTATTCTTGCCTGGGCTTAGCCTTAAAGGGCTTTGGAGGATTCTTGGTCAACAGGGAGTTCGGGATCAGACTTCAACAAACTGAGCTGTGCCTTCCACAGTGCCAGAAGAGCCGCGATCTGCTGGAGCCTGACATGGGAGTCTCCGAAAATAGAGGCACCCTGAATAGTAGGACCCATATTATAAGGACCCCCCCCCCAAAAAAAAAAAAAAATGGTATACGAATTCTTCTCGGAAGCTCCAACATGTGCCGACTTCTGAAACCATGGACTCTAAACCCTATCAGCCGCATACTGGATATTGTCTACCGCAAGGGTCTTGGGCACGTGATCGTTTTTTGCTTGAGGTGAAGGGCCTTTACAGGGCCTTTAACTCCCAAACTGCAATTACTCATACGTCATCAGAATGCAGATTCTTGTAAGCTCTGTCATGGTCAAGTCTGGTCTATACATATCAGTCGAGGCGGGCAGCCGGTTTCGAGAATAATGTAGATAATGTTGATAACCTGCCATCACGTATCCCTCAAAACCCAGGCACGAAACAAAGCCGATCGCACGAAGGACATCTTGTTTCTTGCCATGCTCACCTCAGAGCTTTGGACCTTCGAAGGAGACTCCTCATCTTGAGAAGCTCCAACATCAATCCAGGCCAAGCTCCACATCACACCAATCCGGCCGATGTGCAGATTGTTCCTCGGAGGCATGCTGAGGGCTCAAACCCCACAAGGCCTCCTACGTGCTAAGGGTCCTGCATCCCGAACCCCTGAAACCCGAACTCGACTTCCTAGTTGATAGGGTTGATGCTTCTAATCCTGCATTACCCGTACTAGGGAACTTACCTTCATTCCCAGAGTCTAGGGTCTAGGTTCATGAAGGTCATGCAGGATTTATACCATCAACCCCAACCCTAAACCCTATAGATCCCTGAAAGGAACCCCTTAAAGATACCCTATCATTAACCCTAAAACCCTACAGATCACTTAAAGGAACCACTTAAAGATAGCCCATCATCAACCCTACGGCTTTAATCGGAGGCCTCACAAGGTGGGATGAAGGTAGGTGGGATTAAGGATCCCTTCTATAAGGACTCTTATTTGAAAAAAATATCCCACCTACCTTCATCCTACCTTTTGAGGGTTCCGGCTTTAAGGACCCGAGGCTCCTGGAGAAACTCGGCGACGGCAGCTGCCACAGCAGGTGCAGTGTCCGGATCGAGGTGCAGGTGGTGTCCTACTTAAAGGGTCATGGAACTTAGTAGCGAATTAGGGTTCGTATTAAAACTTCGTAACTAGGGTTCTTATTAAGGTAACTATACTTATAAATACTTAGAACCCGAATTAAGGTACTTATCATCATACTTACTAAGTCCCATGGTCCTCCAAGTAGTGCTTCCGATTCAGATAGTATCACACTTGTGGTGCCATTGCTGGCCATCTAGATCGCTAGCTCGCTAGCTAGTAGTAGGAGTCGAAATCGGAATGAGAGCAGGAGCAAGAGCAGTAGTAGTGGCAGTAGCAGTAGCAGTAGCAGTAGCAGTAGCAGTAGCAGTAGGAGTAGTAGTAGCAGTAGCAGTAGTAGTAGTAGTAGTAGTAGTTGTTGTTGTTGTTGCGCGGCGAGGAAGTCTTGCTTGATGAAACAATCCTCATAGCTTCGGTGGGTCTAAGACTGAGGGTTGGAAAATTCGACTCAACATCCGCTTAGACCTAAACCCTGCAACTCCATCCGAAAGCCTGCGCGAAAAATCTTAGCCCCGTGCTCCGAACCTCGTACCTACCTGAATCCTCAAAACCCACCACTAAACTCCCAAGGTTCAAAACCTCGCAAATCTCGTAAATTCCAAAATCCTAACCTCCTACGATTACACATCAACCTCTGAACCCGAACACTGCGGCCAGGTGGCCGCCAGGCAACTCCAAAGCCCGAAGATTACGGACGGCCGCCTTTCCTTGCAGCTTCGAGGGTTTAGGGTTTGGGGTTTAGGGTTTGGGGTTTAGGGTTTAGGGTTTAGGGTGTAAGGTTTAGGGTTTAGGGTTTAGGGTTTAGGGTTTCGGGTTTAAGGTTTAGGGTTTTGCAGCTTCGATGGGTCTGAAGAACCAGCCGTTTTGGGGTTTAGGGTTGAGGGTTTCTACAGGTGTTCAACAGGGTTCCTTTCAGATTTTATCTGGGCTCTGCAGGATTTGTTTTGTTGTTGTGCTTGGGTCTTGGGCTTAATTTTTCTGTGCTACCTGTTTGGATTTCCTTTTCGTAGAGGTTGCTTCGAGATCCAGTCTCGAGGAGCTCCATGGAAATCCGGGGAGTCTTTGGATGATGGAAAGCTTGTTCAGCACCATGCTATTTCACATGAAACTTGCTGATAGGGCGTCCTAGACTATTCGGAAGCCCTACACCCGAAATCCTTCAACCCCTACTTGGAGGATCATGGGACTTAGTAAGTACTTAAGGTTATAAGTGTCCTAATTGGGGCCGTAAGTATAGTTACCTTAATTATAACCCTATAAGTTACTAAGTCCCATGACCCTTCAAACCAGAAGGAACACGTACAAAGGCCAGGTCACGATTGCTCCAGCGTGGCGGCTTTGGCCAAGCACTGGGTTCGGCTGGGTCGGACCTTTCTGTCTGTTTTAGGCGTCTTTCCAGTCAAGGCTTTAGGGCTTACGATCGTTCGATCTGGCCTGAAAAGGCTTTTATGAGTTGCGGCTCGTAGCTACAAAAAAACTTCTCAGGACGCCGTCGGGAGCAGACAACTCCGTTCTTGATCGTGTTAGTTACGTATTTCTGCGCTGCTACCATGGATCTTTTCTATTTTGTTCTATGTATACACACATACACACTCACTGATTGCATATATGTATAAATAAATAATTACATATACACACAAACATCTGCATGTGTATAGTAGTGCCCGAGAGAGAGGGAGAGAGAGAGAGAGAGAGAGAGACAGCGAGTGAGAGAGAGATAGAGAGGCGGCGGTGCAGGCAGAGAAAGATGAAGGTTTCAGAGGGGGGCCGCTTTCCCTACTCTACATGGAGGTCCTGGAAATCAGGATCCTGGCTCTTGGAAATCAGGATCCTGGCTCTTGCGGTCTACATTAGGACCCTCGAATATTTTCGAGCTCAATTGAAACATAGGATACAACATAGTCAGGTTCTCTTAAAGGAAGCCTTACAATACCAGTAACCCTTGAAGTCACTAACCCCTATAGTAACCTTGACACGAACCCTTATAGTAGATCTTATGGCATCCCTTCAAGTGACATGTATTGCAATCCTTAAAGAGCCTTATGGCAACCCTTGAACGGAAAGTAGCCCTTCATGATATGAATTGACAGAACCCTGATATCAAGCCGTAGTAACCCTTCTAGCAACCGAACTATTGCAGCCCAATGGCCCTGTGGCCCTATAGTGTAGTAGCCCGTACAACATCCCTTCTAGCAACCCTTATAGCGACTATTGTTACTATTCATATTACTGTTGTTATGACGAAAGTTATTCTGCTTGTTTATTGTTAGTAATATTACGAGTATCAGTGCGATTATTGGTGGCTGCCAAAATTATGGTCCCGATGTAATTTTGGGTCCCCATTTTTATACGGCACCTAAGATTTAGGGTACCCAAAAAGGGACCCTAATCTTAACAGCCACCCATATAATCCCCAATAGTAGTATAGTAGTCCCTTACAAGGGTCCCTTATAGTAGTCCCTGAGATCCCTAAGGACCCAAAAAGCCACCCACAGAAGAGCTGGAGGCCCGCGCTCGATAAGCAGCGTTGGGCAGGCGATGCGCTGCAGCAGTGCCAGGACCTGAAGGACCCCTATAGGTATATACCCTTAATATAAATAGCTATTATATACCCATTATATAGCCCTTAATATAAATAGCTATGAAATACCCATTATATAGCCCTTAATATAAATAGCTATTATATACCCATTATATAGCCCATTATAGGGTAGGGGTCCCCCTTAAGGGTCCCTCCTTTTCCCCTTTGACCTGTGTCTTCCACGGAGAGCTGTCTGTTTGAAGGGTCTTTGTTCGATGGTCGCTGAAAACGTGTTCTGCGAATTTATCTAGGCGATATGGATTAAACCAGTTTGTGATGTTGTTTAAGCGATTTGGGGCTAGGATTTGACGCAAAGGCTGTGAGGACTCATATCTTCAGGGCTTGAGGCCTATCGCCACACCGGTCCATGTCCATCTTTGCTAGACTAGGAAACTATGGGGTATTTATCTTTGGGAACTGCTCTCGTATTACTATATGTCCTAAACCCTAGACTTTCGAGATAGAAAGAAGGCGGATCACTTCACAGGTCCGTTCCAGGAAGAGCCGAGTTGAAAGCCCCGTACCCTGATAGAACCCTGACAGGAAAATAGATAGAGCCTTAACGTAATCCCAACCCTAAACCCTAAAACTCCAAACTCTATATATCCAACCTGCTCTTCGGTGAAGTACTGGGGACTCGCACCATGCAGCCTCTCTGACGCTTCGAGCATGCACTTAGGGTTTCGGGCTTAGGACCAGACATGATGAAGGCTAGGTATCGGCTTTATCGGTGGATGCCTAGCCTTGGAGCAATGGAGGGTTTGGGCTGAAATTTCTGACTCCGCGGATGGCGGAACATGGTGTGAACTATTCTTACCTGAACTGTTCAGTTCTCAGGAAGCCTTTGTGGCGGAGTGCCTTACGTCCACATCCACGTGCGCTGGTGTTTGCCGACTATTTAAAGTATTGGGTAACTAAACTCCCAATACCCAAAGCCCGAAAAAGAGCCAAATATTGGGATGATGCAACCTTCGTCAGAACCCTGCCACAAAGGCTGCCGACGTTTCCGAAGCTGCGAAACCCGAACAGGTGGAAGCCCAGAGCCCATGTTGTGTGTATATGTATATGCATGTTTATTTTTTTTAGAGAAAAACTAATTATTTTATATAGTATGTTATATATGTATATACTGAGAGAGAGAGAGGCTGTGTCAAACACATAGTATATTGTACCGTGTATATATATATATATATGGTCACCCCCCCCCATGACAGACCATGCCCTTTCGACTCAGTCGTAGTGCATGGTCTGTGATCGGGGGGAGGGGGCACTCAGCTTTCAAAGCCTCAATTCCAAAATTTCCAAAATTTC